GGTATGTACGCCCAGGGCCAGCCTCTTCCCCTGGTGGGCCCAGGAGCCGACCACCCCAGGGCCCCCCTGAGGCTGGCCCTGCTGACCCCGGGTGGCCGGTCGGGCAGGCAGGCGGGCGCGTGAGTATCTTTTCAGCTGCCAGCGGTACGGATGCCGGAGCCGGAAGATGACGTCATCTTCCGGCGACGGCATCCCTACGCGGCGCGCGAGGGAGCTGAAGAGGAAGCCCTGAGTGCTCCCTCGCGCGCCCGCCTGCCTGCCCGACCGGCCACCCGCCCAGGAGCCCCACTGGACCCCAGGGAATAATCCCCCCCAGCACTCCAAAAGGTAAGGAGGCTGGGGGGATTATATATAAAAAAAAAATCATGTGTGAGTGTTAGTGTGTGTGTGTGAGTGTTAGAGTGAGTGTGAGAGTGAGTGTTAGAGTGAGTGTTAGTGTGTGTGAGTGTTAGTGTGTGTCTGCTAGTGAGTGTTAATGTGAGTGTTAGTGTGTTAGTGTGTGTATCTGCTAGTGAGTGTCAGTGAGTGTGTTACTGTGTGTGTCTTACTGAGTGTGTGTGTGTTAGTGAGTCTGTTTGATGTCTGTTAGTGAGTGTGTGTTTGTCAATGAGAGTGTATGTTTTGTAAGTGAGTGTGTATGTATGTCTGTCGCTGACTGTGTCTCTGTCAGCAAATGTGTGTGTCTGTTAGCTAGTGTGTAAGCGTCTGTAAGTGAGAATGTGTGTCTTCAGCACTTACCTTTCTCCAGCGCCGGACTCCCCTGGCGCTGGGGATCCCTCAGCCTCTCAGCTCCGAATGCGACCGCGACGATTGGGGCAACGCCCATAGGAAAGCATTACCAATGCTTTCCTATGGATCACTAGGTGTGTTCCTCTAGCTGCTGTCCTGCGGAGAGACAGCCACTAGAGGTTGATTAATCCCTCGCGAGTTCGTTTCTCTTGAAACCGCTAAGTGTTTTCAGCTGCAGGGTTAAAATAGAGGACCTGACACCGGGTATCAACTTCATTGAGCCGAGGATCTGGGTGTCTGTAGTGGTCCTTTAAAGGACCACTATAGTGCCAGGAAAACATACTCGTTTTCCTGGCACTATAGTGCCCTGAGGTTGCCCCCACCCTCAGGGACCCCCTCCCGCCCGGCTCTGGAAAGGGGTAAAACTAACCTTTTTCCACCTCTGGGCAGAGAGCTCTCCTCCTCCGATCCTCCTCTTCTCCTCCCCGTCGGCTGTATGCGCACGAGCGGCAAGAGCTGTGCACGCATTCAGCCGGTCACATAGGAAAGCATTCATAATGCTTTCCTATGGACGCTGGCGTGCTCTCACTGTGAAAATCACAGTGAGAAGCACGCAAGCGCCTCTAACGGCTGTCAATGGGACAGCCACTAGAGGAAATAGGGGAAGGCTTAACCCATTCATAAACACAGCAGTTTCTCTGAAACTGCTATGTTTATGAAAAAATGGGTTAACCCTAGCTCGACCTGGCACCCAGACCACTTCATTAAGCTGAAGTGGTCTGGGTGCCTAGAGTGGTCCTTTAAGTGTGTGTGCATCTGCATGCACTGGCGTACATACCGCGGTCGCAGGGGTCGCAGCCCTGTAACCCCTGCGACCAGGTGACCACCGCCATGTGTTGCGGCCCGGCCCGCGCGGGGGGGGGCCCACGGATCAATTTTCGCACCGGGGCCCCATGGGTCATGTGTACGCCACTGCACACACACAAAAAATAATATATAAGGTGCACTCACAGGTCTTAAACAAGTGGTTAATTTATTCCAACGTGCAAATTACATATGCCAAAAAAATATATAGTGATCGACGTTTCGACCCACAAAGGGCCTTTTTAAAAAAAAAAAAAAAAAGGCCCTTTGTGGGTCAAAACGTCGATCACTATATATTTTTTTGGCATATGTAATTTGCACGTTGGAATAAATTAACCACTTGTTTAAGACCTGTGAGTGCACCTTATATATTATTTTTTGTATCTATTTTGACGCCAGAGGTTTGCACCCAGGCAAGAATTTTGATAGATTTAGAGCAAAG